TACTTTTACCCCTACCACTAAAAGTTCCCCATAGGAAGTAAGGAAACACTGGGCCATTCCAACTGGTCCACAAAGCTGTTCCTAACACTACCATAGAAAAAACAAACCAGTTTCCATCAACTTCAGTCTGACTCATGGCAACTACATGTGTCTGGGTAGAATTGCTCCATAGGACTTTCATGACTGTGATCTTTTGAAGCCAGATCACTAAGCCTTTCGTACAAAATGCCTCTGAGCAGGTTCACATCTCCAGTTTTTCCATTAGTAGTCATGGTGCAATGAAATATGGCCCATCTAGCTACAGTCTTTGTAACTTGCACTAAATGTTTGGGAAAGACTACACAAATAGATGCTTGTGGCCTACCAAGGGGTGTATGGAACTTTAACAAGGAGATTGGTCAGTTTTGCTAGACTTAAAAGGAAACCAATCCCAAAACCCAGGAGGAAGCTGACTACCACCAAGAAGAGAAGATGGGAGCAGAAAGTGTCCTTTAGACCAGGTCCCTGTTCTGAGAACCCCGTAGGCACAGGAGCTGTAGCAGCATGCACAGTGAGAGACCATGAGACACAGAGGCAAAGAAGCAGCAGTAGCTCTATCACACCATAATTGTACAAGAGCCAATCACATAACCATATGGGCTATCCAGAGACTCCTAATATCACCCTTGGTGTTTGTTGTTAAGTGCCATCCAGTCCATTTGGATTCACAGCAACCCTGCTTAGGATTTCCAGGCTGTATATCTTTACAGGTATGAGAGATGTAGTCTGGTCATCCTGGCTTCCAAGGAGCACTCTGACTGTACTTCTTCCAACACTGATCTGTTTGTTCTTTTGGCCATGGTACTTTTTTTAACATTCTCCTCCAACACCATAACTAAAATGCATCAGTCTTTCTACAGTCTTCCTTATGCACTGTTCCACTTTCACATGGGTATGAGATTATTGAAAACACCATGATTTGGATCAGATGCACCTTAGTCCTCAAATTGACATCTTTGATCTTCAGCACTTTAAAGAGGTCTTGCACATCAGATTTGCCTAATGTAAAACGACATTTGGTATCTTGACAGCTGCTTCCATGAGTGTTGATGGTTTACGTAAGCAAAATGAAGTCTTTGACAACTTTAATCTTTTCTCCATTTATCTTAATATTGTTTATTGGCTCAGGTAGGAGAATTTTTGTTTTCTTTACGTTAAGTTGCAATTCATATTGAAGCTTGTGGTCTTTGATCTTGATCAGTAAGTATTTGAAGTCCTCTTCACTGTCAGCAAGCAAGGTTGTATTATCTATATATCACAGTTGTTAATAATGAACTTTCCTCCTATCCTGATGTCACATTCTTCTTCATATAATCTGCTTCTTGGATTATGTGTTCAGTATATGGATTGAATAAATATAGTGAAAGAATACAACCCTGCCACACATACTTCCAACCATTTCAAGAGGTAGCATATGATTGAGAGCCAATGATACTGAAAAAACTACCACTCTAGGAGGGGTCTTACTCCCAGGCCTTTTACACCCCTCAGTCAGTCCCCACTTCAGTCTTCACTGAAACTCTCCAGCTTCCTGGAATCATCCCCTTTCTCTCATGTACTGGTCTCATACTAAAATATTCCTCATAGGGTTCCTTCAAAATGTAGCCGCATGTGGCCAGAGATGGGTAAGGATCA